GGGTGCATTTTTGCTCACCACCTTAACCCTAGGTGTACCCTCACCACCCCTCCCAAAAGTTGACACATGTCCATGAGTTTAACTATAGTTAATTCTTATTTTTTATTTATTTGATAACATTACTATGAGAGAGAAACAATACTTCAATAAGATTTTTCCTGATTTACCCTTATTAACCTAGCAAACTTTCCACCTTTCTAAATTAATTAACAACTACCCAAATAAATAATTGGCAATTGGCTTTATATCCCGTGCTTTAATATGAATATCAATTCACAGGCTTCAATACTTTGAAGAACACACCCAGATACTTTGAATCTCAATTGGCTTTAGTTAACTCTTTTTATACACGCCCAAAAGTTACACTGCTCTTCAATATATTATTACGTTGCAATTTCTCAATATTCTTGAACCTGTTTTCTTTCTTCAACCGATGAGTTAATTATGATGTTGCAAGTTTTGGACTAATTAATTCTGGTTTTATTATTCTAAATAAAGCTTACTCCATAGGAGCAAAATATATTGGAGTTGCAGAAATTCCAAAAACGATGAAGGAACCAAGCTCTGCAATAATACCCTTCATTGTCTCATTCCTCTGGCTCTGCAGTACGGTTCATTCTATCATTCCTTTCTATGCTAGTCTTGATCCACCAGTAAAGATGATACCAACATCATGGACTAAAAAAACTAAATAACGCAGAGCAATCACAAAAGTATAAAAAATAATCAAGCAATACACAGTACTATAAAAATAAAAAAAAAACAGCATAGATTATTACCTATCTTTCACTGAACAAATGGAGGAAGCTTGCAATTGAAGATCAGCATAGATTATTATTTGGGGAGTTGTTAATTAATTTTAAAAAAGTGGAAAGTTTGCTAGGTTAATAAGGGTAAATCAGGAAAAATCTTATTGAAGTATTGTTTCTCTCTCATAATAATGTTATCAAATAAATAAAAAATAAGAATTAACTATAGTTAAACTCATGGACATGTGTCAACTTTTGGGAGGGGTGGTGAGGGTACACCTAGGGTTAAGGTGGTGAGCAAAAATGCACCCATTAGGGAGTATGGTTGGAGTTGAAATTTTTTAGAGAACTCCTAAAATAGCTTTCTTATATTTTTAGCCAAATTTTAGCTAAGAAATAGAGAGCATCATTGTGGATGCTCTAAGTTCATCAATATTAAACGAACGCACCACTAAGACTTGTTCCACTTTTGGAAGATTCAAATCTAGATTTTTCATCCATGAAAGAGGTTTGGTTATCTGCAAGGGGGAGTTGAATGACTAGTATCAAATTGAATAGGGTTGATCTCCAAGGAAGTCCAACTTGCCCAATTTGCATCCGTGTGCATCCAAGTGTAGAATAGTAATCTTGGCAAAAAAAAAAAAAAAGGTGTAGAATAGTAATAATAAATAATAATTGAACTAAATTAATTTAAAAATAAAAGGTTTGGAATGTTGGAGGATGGTTTCTTCAAACGTCCACACCACGAAGACGAAATATATATATATATATAAGTATAAAGATTCCTGTAGCAAACCCTATCTCCCATCTCTTTTCCTCCTCCTCTCATATCTTGTCCTCCCATCTCTTTCTTTCTTTATTTGAGAAATATTTATTGTACTGCTCTGGTGTTGAGTTGTCAGCCATATCATTTAATTCATGTATCAAAGCTAGAACAAATATTTATCATCAGCTGCTCCTGCTGGTGATTTAGCAATATATCAATAGCCAGTTTCATAAAGTGGATCGAAAACATGGGAAGAGGCCACTTCCTGCCGATGAATCGGAGGCGAAAGAGGAAGATCAAATCTTCCCTGTTTACTCATCTCGATCTCAACAAGACACATCTGTTATGATTTCAGCTCTAGCTCAGGTAATTGGAAATACTGACCAAACCCCACTTCAACAAGTGCAAGGAAATCCATTAATCACCTCACAATCCAGCCCTGCAGAAAGCCAATCTCAACCAGCACTGCAAGATCAAGGTATTGTTATATGCTGTTAGCCATGTAATCTTTTTTTCTTTTTTATTCCTCCTTCTGTTCCAATCATATGGTTTTCTTCCAACCCTTTTGTTATATGTTATCAATCTTGATTCATTTCTCCAAAGTAATATAATATTGCTTCAATTTAAGTTATTGTTCTTCCTAATTTGAAATATAATATATATGCATATATATTATCCTATGCGAACATCTGGATATTATTAAAGAGCAGATGCAATGTATTTTGTACTACCCCTCATTGCTTTCTTGTTTACAATAGCATCTGCGGGATAATAATATACGGACATCCGGACAAGGTGATTCGAGAAAGTACTAAAATTTCAATAATTCAATTTGGTGGTCAAATGATATCAAATTCAGTATAAATGATTTCTGAATGCATATCTACAAAATAGACAGTTTGAATTAGTAAAATACAATATAGAGTGAGCTCTACAATGGTGTTCCTCAAATAATTTAACGGAATGGATCCCTCAATGGAAACTACATATATATATATATATTGATCAATTTCAATATACAACTGGTGTTTTTGCTTCTTTTTCAGAAATTAATATCTTTATTCTTGTATTCTAACCAATGCTTTCCTCAATAGGGAATGTGAGGAGACAACACTATAGAGGAGTGAGGCAGAGAAAGTGGGGTAAGTGGGCGGCTGAGATTCGTGATCCGATTAGGGCAGCCCGGTTGTGGCTGGGCACTTACGACACGGCTGAGGCTGCTGCACTTGCCTATGATAAAGCAGCTCTCAGCTTCAAGGGAAGCAAGGCTAAGCTTAACTTCCCGGAAAGAGTTCAAGAGAGCTCAGAATTTGGCAACCTCACAATTACCACTCAACAACACCACAACTTGAACAATCCAGAAAATGTTGAACGAGTTCAAGTTACAGACCCTGTGATTCCCAATCCTCCTCATCAGGCTATTTCTCAACCGACATATTCCAATGTTTTTAATTATGCACCATATGTTCAAGGTGAAAGTAACAACGTAGATTATAATGTTCATCAAGTGCTGCCATCTCATGAGAATCACGGACCGCAAATCTTACCCGCCACATCTTCTACATCATCTTCCATGCCATCTCAACAAGAAGAGCTCCGAAGAATGCAGGTTGGTTCTTCTCGTTTGAGTTCGGATCTTCCTAATAAATATAGGAAAGACTTTCAAGGCAGTCACTGAAGATGATAATGACGAGGAGAGCAAAACCTGTGTGAACTCGGGTAATTATAAGTTTGATGTGTGTGTGATAATGACGAGGAGAGCAAAACCTGTGTGAACTCGGGTAATTATAAGTTTGATGTGTGTGTGATAATGACGAGGAGAGCAAAACCTGTGTGAACTCGGGTAATTATAAGTTTGATGTGTGTGTTTTTCTGTTGCTTTATTTTCGTTAATTTCTTTCGGGATTTTTTGCTATCTACTCAAGTTCAGACCATCAAAAAGTTGGAATGATGGAGGTTAATTTGACAGAAATGTCTTCATGATAAAAACCAAGTTTCATTAAGCTATTAACCATATAAATAAGATAGCTGAAAAGGTACCTTGAGAGATGTGGGTCATGGGTCATGTTCATGCATGGCACCGGCAGATTCATGTTAGCAGATGCATGGTAAGCCCATGTTGTGTGCATATATACAAAACTGAACGTAATTAAGTTGTCGAATATCACAAGTTTGTATATCAGCAAGACGTACCCAGAGACCAAACGGGAATAATTTGATTTCTGGAAAGAAGAAGATGTTGCTTTGAAATGAATGAATAATATGTAGGCTGGCTTGGTGGGGACTCTTATAAGACGGTCGTCGAATTCGGCAGTGGGTGACAAGATTTTGGAGTTTAAACACGACAGCTATATGATTGCTTTACTTTTGGAAAACGGTCTCACGCGTTTTTCTACCTTGCACTCATAACAATCTGACAACGTTTTTCTGCCTTGCACTCATACACGGTCTCGTGGTAATATATTCTTCAACGTATATTCTTTCGCTCTTTTACTATTTATGAAATTTACGGAGTAATTTTTCAGAATGACTGTTTATTAATGATATATTACACTCACGACAATGGAGTCTCCCTCTTTTTTTTTCCTGTTCTTGACTAAAAACCAAAATCGTACAACCAAAAATGGACGGATCAACCCTAAATCGTTAGATGTGTGTTTCAACTTTCACATATCATTTTCTCTTCTTTGTATCTTTAGGTAATGGGTCGGTGTTCAACTTTGAAGACATGCACAAATATCAAACGCATGAATGGGACAGTTACAACTAAGTTTCATGAATCATGGATACGACCGGCACCATGTAAATGGACATTGCAATGGACATAACAGTATCATTCATTGAGAGAGAGATGACTGAATAAGTGGGTGGGCAACTTTGGTTGAAGCCAAAAAGAAACCGACTGGGAGTTGACTTGAGTTCCAGTCTCCACGCTGGGGGTTGACTTGTGTAAATGAGAGATGACTGGTAAGTGGAGGCAATTTTGATTGGATCAACTTTTGACTTTTGGCCAACGCTTCCTCTGCCTTTCATTTCATAGACGACTCGAACTTCTTTTGTCGGCTCCAATTTTCAAACCTTTCGGCTGTCAGAGAATCACATTCACTTCAACTAGAAGCGATCGCTCTCGTGAACGTGCTCCACAGCCCACTTCCTTAACAACTAAGATAAGGGTCGTCCGTGGACCGGGCCAGGTCAGACCAGCCCAAAATTATTGTACTTTTTTCCAGACCGGACTTAGTATCGGGCTGGACCGTACTTGGGCCACAACAGTTTAGCACAGCTACTATCCATTATGGAGAGCCTGCTCATTCATGATGGAAATTCTGTTTATTCAATGCAAGTTTTCATAAGAGCATGTTTTGATATGTGAACAATTTGCATAATATAATGCCGTTATTGTTAGCGTTAGGACTTGATTAACTAAATTTATTTGAGCTAGAATAATCGAGCACATAAAAATCAGAGTTTTTCTGTTTAAATATCACACTATTCTTTGTTCACCCCAATACTTAAATCATTAAGCTCTTAAGTTATATTATTATGTAAAAAGACAAAAAAGTCATCCAACTTAATATTTAACCATAATACAGATACACACACCTCATACATCCCACCACTCTTCATATTAAGTTTTAAAAAAACAGAATCTCCTCTACACCCTATTGCCATAATACTCTTCTCTTTCAATCCAAGAAACCTACTACACTCTCATCTTCTCTTCACAAACCCTAAATACGGCAAATCATAATCAAACAAACAAATCAAAAATAATAATAATCATCATCATCATAATTAAAGAAACAAAACTGGAGGGGAAAAAAAAAACTAGACCTTGACTGTGAAGCAAAGAAACAATGCCTGCTTAAGCCTTTGATTGATATATAATCTGAAAATTGCCACATGGGTTTACTTTGTTGAACAAGAAAAAAAAAAAAAAAACATTAATAGTAAACTAATGATGCTACACATTTGACAAAAGTGTTTTGATCTCTTTTAAGTAATGTGATGTAGAGGTGAATTTAGAGTGGTGAGGGGCAAGATAGCGGGGTGTGAAGTGTGAGGTAGATGAGTTTTTTTATTTATTTTTTCTGGTGGGTGTGTATTTAAAGATAGTTTGAGAAGATAGTGGGGTTTTCTTAGAAATTTTGAAATTTTGAATTAGAAATTGCGGTGAACTTAGAATATGAGGTGAATAAAGAGAAGTGCGAGGTTTAAATAGAAAAACTCAAAAATCATGAGACAAAGGATCCCCATAACACTGAAAGGTATATATTTCCACCAATGCCAGAATATGACAACATAATAACAAAGGAACAATTGGTACAATAAGCGGGGAAATACTCGTGGAGATCGAACAAATACAGCAGCCGTGCGAACGCTGAACGCCGAACAGAAGCGAAACATATTATATTATGACCTTACAAGTTATGCATCCGTAGTCCCCTGAGCCTTCTTCGCATAAGCGCCTTCTAAGCATTCTTTAGCTCTATGGACCTTTGACTGAAGATAAAAGCTTCCCTTTGTGGCATTCTGCTTGAACAAGCTGTCGTACCTCTACAATAAGGGAATTTGTTTCAAGAATGAAATGACTAACATTTCTCTCAGAAGATTTGACGCTAACATTTAGATGCAGGGAAAACAACGGAGTTCAAAAATGGATGAATAAAGCAAACCTGCGAGATCTCCTCCCATGATGCATGCTCTGTGACACCTAGAACCTGCCTTGCCTCTGGTTCAGCCATAGATTTGCTTGCTCTTCTGATATTCTGTACTGCTTCCCGAGCAACACCAGACTTTGAAGCATCTGCATTCAGTGATACCATAAAGAAACTATCTTAAACTACAGCTGGTAAGTATACTTGTGACAACAAAGCAGCAAGAAACCTAAGGACGAACTACACACAGCATGTGTATTCTGTAACTTAAAAGAGTTCATGAGAAACTATCTAGCTCTGAATTTGGGATTGCAAGAAACCATACTTGAGAGTGCCTGACGGTATGCTTGGACGAAAGCCCTGCCCAACACTGCCGAGCCCAATACAATCACATTGGCAAGAATTTTGGCAGCCTGTACACACAAAGAACGGCTTAAGTGAAAATCTCGTTGAATTTTAGGTGTCAGTTGTCTTCCGGGTGGTGTAGATGGAACAAAATAAAAAGTTCACTGCAATTACAGTGGGGAGGGTATTTGTGGGGCAAAAGTTCGCTTTTGGGCATCATTGTCGGATTGGGTTTCCTCTAAATTCTGTCATAGACCTTTTTTCTTTATTCATGTGGACTAGCAGGCTATTGTTTCTTAAGATGTTCTTTATTTTTAGAAGTTTTGGAATGTTAATTAGATATATCATCAGATGTTTCTTGTAGATGGATGTTCAAGGTCTTATATGCATATTCAATGGACAGCTTGTTCAGGGGGAAAATTTAAATTTAAAAAAAAAAAAAAAAAAGCAACTGTCTCGTAAAGGGTCAACAACGGAAACTTATTTACAAGTAACAGGTTAAAAGGTAAGCAGAAAAAAAAAATTACGAAAGATGGCCTGAAGCTGAAGAAGAAACTAATAAATCTATGAGACAAGTATCATTCAGCAGACATACCATCACTGACGAAGAAGCGAATAAAACCCAGAAATACAGTAATACGGCAATTCCGTCAGGATTCAAGAAACCTACAATAGCACAATGGATATGTAAGATATTGTTGTAATCAAATTACAATTATCTCTCAGTGCCTTTCAGGGTTTGACTAACTATTAGACAATAGAAACAGAAATACAAAACAATTCTAGCATTAGGGCCATGCCACCATCCTCAGATGACAACATCCCAATACTTTATGACATAAAACCTTGCATCAAGAAACCAAATTTGACAGACCCAAAGACACCCATGAATTGAAAACCATCTTTCCACATTGTTCATCATCAGTATGAGAATTCTGGTTCAACAGTTTTCATACAGTTTCTGGTTACAAAATAACTCAAGCAAGAGACGTGTAGTGTTCTCTGAAGAATTTCTTTTTAAGGAAAAATATTATGCGCAAAGGTCTCAAATACGAAGAATAGCTAGAGAAAAGAGGCAATTATTTTTTAGATGAACCCAAAAAAAAAGCACAGAAATTGCCTGATATAAGTACATCAACAGAGAGACAGAGAGAGAGACAGAGAGAGAGACTTACAGATCGAATTTGGTGATGACAGGTCTGGGTTGTGGTTGAAGGAAGAAGGGGTTTAGGGTTTTAGACGCACAGAGGGGTTTTACAGAAACTGAAGCGGAGAAAGGTTGTTGGCATTGAGTGAGAAAGAAGCAAAGGACAACTACAAACTTGGAAAACCCAATTGGGCCTTAAACACCGGGTTGGGTTTTTAAATTCGAATCCGAGTCAATCTCGACTTAAAAATACTAGAGCTTCAGAAAAACTTTTAATATTTTTATTCCTTTACCAAGATCATTTTTATTTTAAGTTAAAATCTTAACAACCCCCCCCCCCCCCCCAACAAAAAAAAATTAACATCGTAATATTGTTTTTGATTAGGTATATTGTGATCCTCCTCTTCATACTACAAATTTAGTATCTCCATCCATGAGCACATGTAGTTGAGTAATTTTTCAATGAAGACAACGAAAAACGGAGGCGAAATTTCATTTTAATCAGTCTATTAGTCACGTATGCTTAATTGCTTATTACTACAATAAAACGGAACTTACTAATTAACTTTCTTAAATTTGAATCTCCTTCCTTCTCCCCTAATCAAAGAGAAAAAATAGAACATCAAATTTTTTTCAGAGGGGCTACAATTGGTGGCCCGAAGCTTGAAATAACAACAAAATTCAAGACTCATTTAGAAATAGATAGCATAAGAACTTTCATGATTGCGAAACCTTGCAACATTGATCCATGAGCTACATCAGCCATTGTTTTGTTTTGGCATTAAGTACAAAAGAACTGTCATAATCTAAGCAAGCAGACTTTAGACATTTGAGCCTTACAAAAAAAAGTTTGTATGCTATGCTGGTTCTCCCAAAAAGAACCTTCAACTTGATCCATAAACTGTGGACGCTATTAGAAATCTCAAAAACAACCTTCACCAAAAACCCTTGTAAGTTCCACATTCCAACCACCAATGCAACCAATCATTCAAAATCATCGTCAGTTTTCACATGCAGAGGACTTGATGGTGAAACATTTCCTTCATCATCACCCAATGCTTCCTCCTCCTGAGCCTTCTTCCTCCCTCGGGTCCTCTCTGCAACACTGCCTTGAACCGCAGCTTTCTTCCCACGATTCGCAACCGGAGCCACTGACTTTTTGCTCTCCTTTGCATCCTCAACAGATTTCACTTGCAGAGGACTTGATGGTGAACCATTTCCTTCATCATCTTCCAATGCTTCCTCCTCCGGAGCCTTCTTCCTTCCTCTGGTCTTTGCTCCAACACCAGCCTGACCAGCAGCTTTCCTCCCACGCTTGGCAACTGGAGCCTCCGACTTATTGCTCTCTTGTGGATCCTCATCAGATTGCACCTGCAGAGGACTTGATGGTGAACCATTTCCTTCATCATCTCCCATTGCTTCCTCTTCCAGGGCCTCCTGACCAGCAGCTTTCCTCCCATGCTTTGCAACTGGAGCCACTGACTTGTTGCTCTCTTTAGGATTTCCCAGCTTTTTCATTTAACTCCCCATCATCCGTCTTTGTTGAGCAATCACCGAGATCAAATTTTACACGTTTGGGGCTCCTTGTGGACTTGTGGGTTGAAGGAGAATTCTGCCCGCCATCATTAACGACTTTTCCTTCAGACATCTGAGTGCTAGCTTCATTGTCAGAATCAGCCATTCCTTCTTCACTTGACTCCTCAGGTGGATCCACATTCTGCTCCTCTTCATTTGTAGATTTTAGAGACTCAATCATATCCATTATCTCTCTATTCACCTATCAGGATCAATCCCACAAGACAACGTAAAACTCCATAAGGTAATGTTTCATTGGATGCCAAGAAGACAAAAGAGGATAATCAAAAGCAATTTTTTTCCTGGGGGCAGTCATCTCTATGATTCCAGGATTTATATCTTATCTTCCAATAAATTAAAACGAAAATGTACAAATGACAACAAACCTGAGGATTTTGAAGAAAATCAGAGATGTCGGTGGGACAAGAAGGGCAGTTCATGACATTCTTTTGAGATCGAAGAGACCGCCCACCTCTGTTTCTTTCTCTGACAAAACTCTTACCAGCAAAAGCACCTTCTAAACACAACTTGCAAAAGTTATGAGCACAAGGTGTGGTTATTGGTGAAGTCATCACCTGCCGGCAAATTTGGCAGCTGAATTCTGCAGATCAAGACAAATCAACATTAGCATGAAATCTGATATCATATACCATAAGCATGTTAACTATCTCAACAATAAACAAAGTTAATGAATAACCTGTTGGCAGAGTCTAAATTAACTAAGTCCAAAGAACAACCACCAACCCAGCGGTCAATATTGTCTTTTCTAAATGGCTCAAATCTCCCATATCAAACTTCCTTACCAAAACGATGATTGTGAAGGAAGAAATAATACTGATGAAGTGAGTGTGCTTTCCTATAGTAGGACTGAAAGGGTGGGGGAGAGGAAGAGAGAGAAAGAGAGACCTTTCAAGAGCCTATCTCGGACAGTAGTGTTGTGTGCTTTCCTGATTGCTTTCCTTGACCTCTTTCGATCATCAAGATTTAATGCTTGAACAGGCTTTTTGCTGACAGGCGCTGGCTTTTTCCATGTCCAGCGGCCATCTTTCTCCTGATAACATTGTACAATATAGTTTATGAAATCAAGATGACAATATCAAACCACAGTGACCTACTATGAATATTAATTGTCCACAGCCTAGACAGGGACAAGATGTTCTAAGACAGAGGAGCCCCAATGACTACAAAACCAAGAAAATAAAATATTTCAAATCCAGTTACGAAAAACTAAAATAAAATAACTTACATCAAAGTCCCAAGATGGACTTTGCTTCCTCTCTGTTATATCTGTGGCTTTCTTCAGCTCGGGAATAGGAGGTAAGGGTCTAGGTCGATCCCCATGTTCATCACTGCAGTTCAATTTGCAAAGATCAATCAAAAAGGTCTACCACAGAAGAGGTCATAACAGAAGCTAAAACTTACCTCGTCCATGGTGCAGGTTCATTGTCACATCTGACAAAAAGATACCGGCAGACCTTGAACCCCTAATTGAGCAAAACCATTCAGTAAATCAGTTCAGGAAAGTATAGGAACCCATCAGGCACTTCCAAAGTCTGGGATAGCATATATTTATTTACCTGAACTCCAACCTTTTTCCAACATTTTTCTATTCTGTAGCATCCATCATACCGCACACCTTTCTCAGGGGCATAAGAGGAGCGCTTCTCCTTGTGAGACCTAAGAATCAAATGGAAGGGAATAGGTTATGCTCAATGGAAAATGTTAGAACACAATAACAAACAATTGATACCAAGACACATAATTTGAGAACTTGACTCATCTAAACAAACTTTCATATAGGATCAGCCAATGTTAAATCAGCCAAAACATAAATGGTCATTCAAACTAGCCCTCAAATAACAGATGAACTTAAGAAAAAAAAAAATCAAAAGTTGACCAAGTCTTAACACAGTATAGGGTGAGTGTGTTTAGAACATGGATATTTACCTTACCACTCGAACAGGATAACCTTTCAAGCAACTAACTTGGAGAGCCTTGTTATATTTGTCAAATGTCTGGTCAAAAGACTGTTCCTTGTTTGTTCGCTTATTCCCACTCAAATCCCTTCCACCACTGACATGCACATCCATGTAAACAAGGCAGCAAAAGTAAATAAGGGAAACCAGTGAATAAAGAGAAATTAATTGATCATAAACACAAGATGCCTGGTGAGCAAAGTGACCAAAAGATAAAATATGAAAAAGTTCTCTATGTAGAAACAGGAGCTGGATACAAAAACAACATAATAATTTATATCAATAGTGCACAGTATGTGAACATAATAAATACTTGAATTGGAGCAGAAAACCATGGAAATGGCTGATCTTATATGAACAACTAGAACATAGAGGGTTTTACCAATGTTATCATGGTACAAAATAAAGAACGTCAAAAACCTTCAAGAGAAATGAAATAGAAGGCACAATTTAAGTGGAGGATCAAGTGACAAACCTTCCAGTGTATAAGAACCACTCTCCATGATCCTCATCATCAAGGTACCCACCTGAAAGCACAACTGACTGTGCACCATGATTAGACTGTCCAGCTATACCAGAAACATGGGGAAAGTGTACACCCCATTGTCTACATTCCAGCCTATCCTCCCAACTTT